CAGTTCCGTTTGGATACCCGATCACAGAACGAGGCGGTTTTCTCCCCCCCTCTTCTCTATCTTTGTCTATTACTATCTCTCTCTTTCTCTTTCTTTCTCTCTCTTGTTCACTTTTTCACTCGCCCACTCTTACATCTTCTCACCCTCTTTCTCTCTCCTTTTCCCTCCCGCTTTTCTCTCTCTCTTTCTCTCTCTCTCTCACACACAATCACTTTCCATCTCTCTCGTTCTTCCTCTCCTCTCTCCGTCCTTCTCTTCCTTCCTCTTCGATCTCACTCCCTCACTCTATCTATCTAGCTGTTGCCCCCTTGGCTCTATCCGCGCACACGCCTCGCTTCTGTCCGCTTCACCTTTTTCTCGGCCGCTGTCTCAGTCTACCGCGAGTCGCCTACGTCTGCTTGTAGACCTCGTAACGTGGCCGCGTGTGATAGTGTATCAACGATCGTAGTTCCGTTCGCTTGAACTCGTCGTCCGGTCACCGAGCCAGCGCGCACACCGGCTTGACTTTGCCCCGCCGGTGCGTGAGATGTCCGTTCCACGTACCTCGTACCACCTTGTGAGAATGCGTCCAGCAATCAAGTGATCGCGAGTATCGACGAGCTCTACGTCGTCGTCGTCGAGTGACGAGTGGTGACAGAGGTAATCTGCGCGAGCCCCAGGAATACGCACGGTATTCGTAGAAACGCGAACGATGACGAGGCGGTGTCAGCGTGGATTCGAGGTATAGCGGAGATCTCGAGGCGATGCCAGTTTCGAGGAGGAGGCGGTGAGAAACGATAAAGCAGCATGATTTTGTACGAGAATCTGGAAGCTGGCGGACGCGTAACGAATGAGAAAAGGGAAACGAAGTGCTGTGAGAACATTTGATGTAAGAGCAGCGAGGGTGTATAAGTGGGAGCAGCACGCTTGGCCAAGTTGCCTGGATACGGGCAGCAGCACCGTGTTGCGCTCCGGTGAAGTAGGAGGAAGCGAAGGAGGTGGAAGGTGGTGCTAATACGCGAAAGGATGGAGGGTGCAGTGGACAGTAGTGGGACGAAGAAGACGATGCACGAGGCCGAACAGGCTACGAACGCAGGCTCGTGCCGCGTCCAAGAATCGCGATAGCATAGCTGCCTTCTTCGGATACGATTACGTATGGTAATCGTGGCGACAGAAACGTTGCTCATTCACCCAACAACGCGCCCGGCTCTCTGTACTCGAGATCCGGCATCGAGCACGAAAGCTCGAAAGCCTCTACGAAGCCTCTCGATTGGCAGGAATGACCGATATCTTTCGGCTCGAACTGAACAACTTCTTTAACTTCTTTCACGATTCTTCCTCGATTCTCGCTTCTCCAGTGAATTCCCGATGAGAAAAATTTTAGATTAGAGAACAGGAAATAGTAAGAATAGTAAGTGTCGACGAGAAACGAGAAGTGTGTTCGTATAATATATCCCATTCTTATAATCGTACTTCCTTAAAGGAAGAGTGTGATAGTGAAATATCGAATTCGTGATTGAATAAGGAGAAAGGAAAGGGAGGCATTCGTATCGAATATATATACGCCGGTTGTCACGAACACCTGTGAATCGAGCACGGCTCGAAAACACTTATGGAATTCTTTTTACATACACGGATGCAACGGCCCTCTTTCCTCGTACAACGCGTTCGTTCGATGCGTGCCTGATACTAGCGAAGAGCTAATACCGTTGCCGTGTAATTGATAAATGATATCAAGTGACAGAAGCCGATCGCAATTGTAGGTACGTTCGTATTGACAAGTTAGAAATAGGTATCGCAACTTTCCAGACTTCCAGAAATTCCTATTATTTTTTTTTTCTTCTTTTTTTCGTCCTCGTGAGAGCGTATCTTGCGGTGGCTGAGAAATGTGTTTTCCGTGTTCCATGACTTTTCCGATCCGTGTTTTCTTCGTAAACGAATACAGTTTCAAGAGCTCTTTCCTTTCGTATCGTAAAAATTGAGGAAAAATGTAACACGTTTGAGTATCATCGGAAGAGATTAAAGTTGAGCACTGCTCGAATATCTCGGCCGGATAATTTATCACGTAAAATCGTTTAAACGTAGTATTAAATAAGAAATTCGGGAGACAGGTAAAATAATTTTAAATTTCAATTGAAGTACATTATTTGAAATAAATAGGCGAATTTGAATACCTAGATAATTTACGTCACAAAAATTTTTTTAAATATAATAAATTATCCCTTTGAACTTTTAAGGTCAGCTGTATCATGCAGGCATTTAAAGGTATTCTACCCTTTGGCCATTGTTTACAGCTTATCACTTAAATATATATAAAAAAAAATTTTGAAGCTAAAAGTGTATAGTTAAATTCCTTGAAACGCAGAGTTAAATAAAAAATTTAAAAAACAGATAGAATAATTTCAATTTTCAATTGGATTTATTATCAGAAATAAATTTAATTTCTTGAATTTTGCATTCGAAAAATAATCGTGATTATAGAGCAACAATCTTTTTGTTCGAAGCATGTATAGTTCGCATAGTGGTTGAACGGTGATTGATTAGGATATACGAAATTTCTATCCACTTATAGCCAAACAGCTAATCAAGAAGTTGGCTATAATTCAAGAGAATCTTTCGATTTCTGGATGTTTGTAAACTATAGTTATCGTACGTTTCATGAAAAAAAATAATAAACACAGTCAGCTTTAATGTCGTTTTGTGGAGAAATTCTATTTCCCGTTCGTTTCAGTTTTCAAAGTGGTGATTTGCATACTAGATATAGTAGTTTTGTATAAAACTATATAGGCGCGTGTATACAGTTCCGTAAAATCTATTTCTTGGACACGGAAACACGTAAATTTTTACCAGAATTAAAGGGAAACAAGCTTTAAATGGAGGTTGAAAAATTTAAGTTTCCATATGTATATTAGTGAGACGAAGAATAGGAATTTCTGTGGAGAATATTGAATTTTAGTTAAAAAGTTTATTTCAGGATTACTCAATAGTTAAATAATTAGATATTGTAATTAATCTTTTGTTTTGATCAACAAGAATTGAAAAAATTGACTTTAATTTGATTAAAGAAAACAATTCTGATAATGCAAATGATTTATTTATGTGGTAAATAGGTGGCAAATAATTTAATTATATTTTTGATAGAATAAAAAATTGTTTGATTTGATTTCTTTTAATATTCGAACGTTTCATTATTGTGATTTTTTAAAGACATCTTTCTAAACTTATTTATACATTTTTATTTCTTATTTATTGCTATTATAATTGTTATTAAAAAAATTAATATTGTTAAATTTAAATATCGCAAATTTTCTATACACAAGATATTCAAATATAATATCTTTATTCTCACTTCAATCGTAATGTATGTTGTTTCGTTAACACGATAGAAATTGACTTAATACGTTTCAATACATAGCTTTTTTCACGAGAGAGAAATTTAAATAATCGTTGATATTGTAATACGAAACAATGTTTGTAGACGATAAATTGTAATAGCAATATATTTGTTCAAACTTTGGAGAATCATATTAGACAAAGTGTCATCCCAACAAAGTAATATAGAGTCGTAATATAGGAGATAATAATTGTGATTTTTGAAATTCGTATTTAAAGTAATAAATTTGAAGTGGAAAAATCTGTTTTTTTTTAAAAATTAAGATATACGTTTTATAGTGTTTATTTATAGTGTTTTTCTACTTAAGTAAACTTAAATATTTGTGAAAGACAACATTTACCACATAATTTAAGAAAAAAGAAAAAATGACAATTTTATTAAGGTGGTATAATAAAGTGATATTTTATTTTCTTTAATGAAAAATTTGACTTCAAATAGAAATAAGATAGAACATGATATATGGGCAAAAAGTTAAAAGAGAATACAGAATTTAATGTGTAATCATTCCTATATGATTTCTTCATATCATTTTAGACCATTCCTATTTCTTCTTAGCACAAGTTTCCAATACCTTCATAAAATTTAACAAAAAAATTCGCAGTTCCAAAAATTAAAATTAATTTCGTCATAAAAGAATCAACATCATATCATAACATAATGTCGCGTAATAATGAGCAAGTAGTACAAAATCATTTACTCTCTTTCACAAATCAATAATTCCCAGATCTCCACTATTTTAAAATTATATTTCTCCAACACAAAAATTTAATTAAAAAATTTCCGCTTCCAATCTATAGTAATTTCATCAAGAGAAATCTATCTTTATAAGATTCATAGAAGAAACGTATGAAAGATAGGAACAAATAACTTCGTATACTCTTATAAGTCATTTTCAGATACATCTAAAATCAAAAATCGTATCCTCTTGGTGCAAATATTTAACGAAAAATTTCCATACACTTTACGATCAAATCCAGCGACAAATTCTCCGGTTCCACCCCGTCCCAGTAGCCTCATCAAAAATGAAAAGCCATCAGCATGTGAGAAAATTCGCAAAAGTAGCACGATACAAAACCATTTACCCCCTCCTCTATTGTCAATCAATTATTTTCAGGTGTATAACGCGAGCATGCTCGACGCGTGGCGAGGTTCGACGCGGACCTAGAACTGCGGTGACAATAGGAAGAGGCAGAACAACGGCAGTAACGACAACCATCAGAAGGTTGGCGGGTCGTATATACGTGAAAAGTGAGAAGGTAACGATTGGTTATGACGGCAAAGTCGGGCGGCATCTATCCGGGTTCATCGTTGTGACGATTAGACAAACTTGCGCGACTCGACCGGTTTCTCGACACGATGATCAGAATCAGTGTAACAGTTCGCGACGAAGAGTTCCCGGGCGACGTTCGAGACGGTGATCGCAGCTCGTAGAGAAGTGACACGCGATATATATATATATAGATATATATAGATATAAATATATATATATATATATATATATGTATATATTATATAGTGTGTAGTGCGCGCACGAGTGGAGAAGGGACGTACAAGGGGGTGGTGGAACACGAAAGGAGTGGAGCATTCGGTGAATTCCGGGTGGCCGACCCTTACGAATAGAGGAGAAATGTCGAGCTGGCCGAGTCTGCAAAATTCATTCGCCATGGCGAACCAGACGAGAGGTCTGCCACAGATGCGAATAAAGCTTTGTATGGTCAGCGCCGGTCTTCAAATAGTCCTTTTGCTCACCGTCCTACCTCAAGGTAAGTCCCATGCTTGCTGATTTTCCTCCATCTTCCGGTTATCGTTCGATTCATCGGTCCAGAGACCGCAATTTCCTATCATGAGGATTCGCTTCGATTAGGGGCAAGCACAGGGAAGGATAAATAATAATAAAGTTAGGAAATAGTCTCTTATAACTTGGGATATTTGGAAAATTTTGTAGATTTCAAAGTGAAGATTTGTTTTGAGGGATGTAGATAAAAGAGAGGTAAATGTTAACGAAGTTCGGAAATTAATCTTGTTGGTGGTTCAGGAAATTATAGGTGCTTTGTTTTAATTTTAAATTAAGGATTTGTTTCGTTTGAAGGCAATAGAATATAGGCAAGAATAAGTGTTAACAGGTAAATAAAGATGGATGTTAACGATAATGGATAAGTGTTAATATTAAAGATAGAAAATCTGTCAAACTGATTTTTTTAGTTTTAATTATTGGAAGCACACAGATTTTATGATTAAAATTATATTGAGATAAACATTTAAATACAATGTATAATTATATATATGTATAATTATATATTTAAATGTATATATATATTCAAATATACATCATAGTTTGGTTAGTTCTGTTCAGAAATATCTATTGATAGTTCAAGAAAATTTTAATCAATTTAAGTACAATTTAGGTACAATTTAAGTATAAGAGAAACGAAAATACATGATAAAAATAAAGCACAAACATTATTTAATATTTTTTCCATATAAATTGACTTTTTCTGGTTTTTTAATTTTTATGATTTATTATTCTTCATTCTATTCTTCATCAATTTATCTAGATTATCTATAATTTATCTAGTTTAGTAATCGATATTATCAAATTTATTATTCGCAATAAAATTTTTATCGTAAAAATTATGAATATTTCTCTATTTTTTATTCTTTCGAGTTAATAAAGTTTAGAAATAAATTGTTCAAGAAAGTTTGATTAATCGTGTGTAAAAAGTGATAAAAGCTTAATTTTTCAAAAGAATATTGAAAATGACTAATGGTATGGAAATGAAATTTAGTATTGAATTATGTTAGATATGACATATCGCTCTTTAAACTCGCTTTCTTCTATATCAATTAGTTCGTATCACAGTCAGGTGCCAATTGAACGTATAGATAGATTCGTAATTCGTACTATTTGTGTATTCACGATCATGTCACCTGGCAATATTAATTTGTAGAAAGTGTTTTATCGAAGGTATTTAACTGTAACTTTTAACCGAACATTTGGTTAACCACTGGAAAGTGTAGGTTACAATCTGATTTAATCAAAGCGATCGATCGCGGAAACACGAATATTCCGTTGTGCAACCAGCTCATAATAATTTGCATTCTGTATCGGCGTTTCTGTATACAGATATTTTGCACGCTTGAATATTCTCAAATGTTTGTAATGAATCTGTAGATTGCGTGTTTATGTCCAATGGAATTAAATTTGGGTGGTGTTAAACAATTGTTATTTGATTTTAATATTATTCATATTTCAATGTCGTTCCTTACGAATTTTAATATTTCGTACAAAGTGATTTGATACAAGTACAATTTTTTAATAATGCGAAAAAAGATTATTATATTATGAAATTAGTTTTTGAATAGTTTGGTTTCAATTCGATTTTTATTGTAATATTGAATTCTGCGTATTTTATATAGAATTTTATTTTTTTCAATATATATATTTTTACATCTCTAATTTTGATAAATGTAATCCTGTAATCCAAAAAAAATCTTTTGTGTAGTAGTAAGAGTTTAGTCATTTTTGATGTCTATCGAAAAATAAATTGTTGAAAAATTTATACAATACGATTTCAGTCAAACAAAATTTTATTAATTAGGTTTCATAATATGCTATATTTGTTTGTATATGCTATGATAGTTTAATCTTTGATTTTTTATATCTATATTTTACAAAACAAGTTTGAAATAATTAAAAAAAAAATTAATTATTTCTAATATAAAATATTATCTTGTGTAAAATTTATCTGTGAATTGGACGATAAATTTTTATGATTAATTTTAAGTAATTTAATGTCTGTGATTTGGATGACATTATATTATTTAAAATTAATTTATATAATTGAAATTATACCATTATTTTGAAATTATCATTAAAATAATAAATTTTGAGTAGCTGTAAATTCTTGAATTCCATTTAATAATAATAAATATAACGTTAATCTCTAATAAATATAATGTTACGTCTCTAATGTTAATAAAAGTTTTGTAAAAATTAGGTAGATAAATAAAATAAATACTCCGCATCGTTTTTAGCAGTAAAAAGCTCTTTCCATAATGTCGTATAATTGCAAATGCTCGATTAATTGTAATCATTATTAAATATTATTAGTAATCCTCATATTATCGGGGCACCAATAAATTACCATTAACTGATCATCCACTTATTGTAAAATAATTCACGCATAGTGAATCATGTTTCGTGAAGTTTCAGATAACCGTATGTTATATACATATGTTCATGAAACGATTACAAGTTTGGCAAAATTAATTGATACATTTAATGTTTTAAATCGTAAATTACATTGCTGTTATTTTATGCATATAACAGAATGTTTTCGTTATGGAATTAATTATATGGTATTTTTGAGAGTTGATTTCACGTTGCAATACATCAGAAGATTTAAAATAAATAGTAAAAAAATTTCATCCAGTTTCTAAGAGTATATGATTTATGATAGCATTTTAGTACAAATTATATACTGGAATAAATAAGTGGAATAATTACATTAGCAAATATGAATACCAAAGGGTTAAGGGAATAAAGATATATTAATTGATGTAATATTTTACTAAATTGCGATATACGAGACTATTTTTTTACTGATTTATGAGAAGATAGATTACATGGATCAAATTGAAAATAGATATAATGAATGAAATATACATAAAATTTAGAAAGTTGCTTTAACGAGGTAATGTTTCATTATTATGTAAAATTCTGTCTTGTATAATCTTACGTAATCTGTCTTCTACAAAAATTTCGCACTGAAAAAATACTGTTCGAAATTTTTTATAATTCTTATTAAATTAATTCTATATTTATTATTAAAATATTTAACTTAAATATATCCAAAAAGATATTGTTATTAATTAAATAATTTAGAAGTAAAATTTAAAATAAAATTTGTATAAACAAAAAGAATATTTTCTAAAGAATGAGAAAACTTTAAATTGAAGAGAAAAATTAATTCACTTTAGAATGCATCAATGCAAAGTCATATGCACTATTAGAAAGTGAAATATATCCTCATAGGGAATTCATAGAATAGAAAAAAGGAATATGATAATAAAAATGTACTCTTGGTCGTTTCGTGGAAAACTAAGCTTTTTCAAGTTATTCAAAACTAATCCTCTCCTATGTTAGAAAACTTTCGATACTGAAAGAGACAGAAATTGTACGACCTCGTTTTCAGTTCTATCGTAGTAGCTCGGTTACCACCTTGTAAAGTGGAAATCCAAAGTGAACCTTAATTAAAGGTGGTACGCCGAGCTTATCGAGACTCGCTTTCAGAGCTATTTCTTCCATTTTCAATCCTTTCTTCATCTTTATCATTGCTTTCGTTATATATATATAATATTTATATGTATATTATTATTATTATATACATATGTATATATACATCCATATTTATTTCCTTATATTCTTATATCGTATATATTATATAAAAAATAAGTCATAATCTTCCATAAAGATTTTAAAATTGATTGCCAGAATATAATTGGTCATCTTAGGTATTTAATATATTTTATGAAAAATAGTATATTAATAAGGAAAGCAATATTTTGATATATATTTTTCTATTTTACCCTACAGTAGTCTGAAACTCTTGTTGAAACTCTTATTGAAAAGAAAATATAAAATGCATAGTGAAATATATAGTAAAATTAAGTTAGTAGAAGGTTAGATACTTTTGATATCAAATATAATGATATGATAATAAAAAAAGAATTGAAGATATTTTTATAATACATGTATGAATAAGCAACAACCGGAGATGTTAATAGATTTTCAATAAAAAATATTAAAGCATTTATTAAAAATCTATGTGTTGGATAATTCTTTATTAAGAAGAAAACAATATCCATAGGTTTAAACAAATTAGTCATCAAAATAATTTTCTAATTAGGATATTGTTTAATATGTTTCAAACGTGTTTTTATATATTTATTACTACATAAATTTTAAATCATTACATCATATAATTTTTAATAGATTCATTTTCTTATAAAGTATGAAAAAAGAATAAGAAAACTGAATGCTAACAATATATTCAGGAATTAGATATATTATCAAAATTTTTATTTATCATAAAGTATTTTATCACCAAAATTGAATTTAATCACAAAAGATGGACATTTTTATGTTAAGCATAACTAAATTCTGAATGAGCATATCAAATAAAGTTATAAACTTTTTAAAATTCCAATACTTTCATTTCTTAAATATTTCTCGTTTAAGCCTACATGAAAATACTTGTTTTAAAATTCTTTAATAATTCTTCCAATGAAACATGTTCGAAATTATATTCGAAATATAATGGTTCCACCATTCGTTACATCGCCATAGAGCTTGCATACAGCTCTGAAAGTGGCATGCACTATATCGCGTGTAATATATCGTCTTGTCAATCATGATTACGGTTAGCAGAGGCCTGGTGACAGTGCAATCGGTATAACGAAATCAGTCTCGCTTCACTTTGTTACAAACCACGATTCGAATCGATGCCACCACGAAGCCGTGTGTCCCTCCTTCTTCTCACTATGATTGATAAATGTACGTGTTTTTATTTCGTCTAGTCTTGATAACATTATTTCTCAATAAATCTTTCCTCTAACCGGTGTGGATCGACGAACTCGTTATGAAGTAAAATTAACAGGCGTTTCACGTAAAGATTTTCATTGGGAACTTTTAAAGTAGATCGAATGCTTCTTTTGTTCCATCCAAGTTATAAATTGCATTCGTTCTTTTAGCTCTAGCTGA